TGCCTCCAAGTTCAAGAGTTCCAAGAGTTCCACCCCCTGCTCCGCGCCGTGCACTGCGACACCCCCTCCCCTTCCTCTCCCCCACATTTGGCCGTCTGTCTGTGAGGAGCACTCTGGTTGTTTCAGTAAGCGTTGTGATTGGCTGCCAAGACAACCAATCACAGTGCTCCAAGAGCATTATGAACAGACAGAAAGACACACAGACAGGTGAACTAAGCCCTTTATCTATATAGAATTATTATAGACCAGTGGGGGTCAAGATTTTTAGTAGGCATGCCACAAATTCAGCTTCATGCCTCCCTCCTCACCATGATCCCCTTGTGCCACCATGATCCCCTTCCCCTACCTGATCTGCTGCTCTGCTATCTTCTGCCTACCCACTCTCCAAGCTCCTGCATGCCACACACAGGCTGCCTGTGCCACTTGTTGCTACATGCTGCAGATTGACCACCTCTGTTGTAGAACATTGCTACAGAGTATTATGTTAAAAACATAATGTAATTATGGAACACGTGCAGCCCCTTCTTCTGTGGGCACAGAGGATCCTAATACAGTAGGATTGAGCTTCAGTGATGTGATGGATGGATTTGGGTGAGTGATAGCAGTACATGAAAGGGCAATGTATACAGAGCTTGTGTATGAGGATTCATGAGGCTAAATTCCTCCTGTGAGGTGCATTCAGGAGCTCCATCATTGTTGCATGGTATGAGTATTGGTAACTGAGCAGCTACTTGGCTACCAGCCTTCATAAAAGAGAAATTCCTTTTACTTTCACAACTGTTCTTTTTATCCTTGCCTCTGTCCATTCATAAAACCTGTTTACTCATATTCAAAGGAGAAGCAGAACAGTATTTTGGCCTAATACATTAGTAAGAAGAAAGGCTTTTACTTTGTGCTGCTTCTGTACACACACGATTGATATCAGAAAATTTTATCAAAATGAATTTAGGCTGAGAGACTATTGCATCTCCAGGTCATGCTCTCTGATAGCAGTTATTGCACAGCTTATTTCAAATTTGCTTATTTATAAATGCAAATACGTCTCTGTTAGCACACTGAGTGGAATATTTAATATTGTTCTTTAGTGTGGCACATGTAACAAACAAAGAGAGCATTTTTAAACAACGTGACTTCTGCCAGCCTTTAATACATGATCTTAAAAAGTGAATCAAGATAAGTATTTAAGAATCTGTGTTATGTTTATCTTTTACAGCTGCAAACATTTTTTGAGATGTTCTTTAGATCCAGTTCTCCTCAGCAGGCCTTTGATAATATGAAAGAAACTATAAGCAAACTCTTACTGATAGCTGAATTACTGAGTGAATCATCCATCTCAGGACCAAAGACCTCCAGTCAGTAAGTAGCTTGCAATAAAAAAGCAAATTAGCTATTGTCAAGTTGTTCTTTAGAATATTGTGAAGAGTAACACAGAATACAGAACTTCTTATATAACAAATAAATCTATATTTTACACTGGCTTTTAGACTGAATTAAAGACATCTGCATTGTTTACCAGATGAAGGTGTCCAATGCCATTGGTGTTCAAAAAAAGTCAAAGAGGTTCATTGAGCACTTAGGGGCAGACTCTGTGTCTTGTTTTATTCCTTATTCCTCATTGTGCTCTATTTAATGAGAGAGTCCCAACATACATAAAGCCACCTTTAGCTACCTCCGGTGCTTCACCACCTTAAAGAAATGCAAAAATGTATTACTCATGGTTCAGAAGACACTTACCATGTATCAGCTGGCTGGGGCTGCTCTAACCTGGGCTGAATTAAGGAATTTTACTTGTTTTGGATATTAGCACAATTGTGGAGTACTACACATGAGAAGCTTCTGAGGCTTATAGCCCTGGTCCAGATTTACCTTGGAGGTGCCTACATTTAGGCATTTGATTACCTAAAAGTGTGCCTTGGCCTGGGAGAGTGATCTATTTAGTGTTGGTTTATGGCTGCTTGCTGATGTTAAAAAAACAAAACCAAAAAAACACGCACTTTACTGGAAAAAGCAGCACATTACTTTGGCTTGGCTCTGCAGTGTCTGTATAGTTTGGGTGCTTCAGTGGGGCTTTTTTTCACTTTTAACTAAAGCTGATTCAATCAGCTGTTAGATAAAAGCACCAAAAAACCCTCACTAAAGCTCCCAATTTATACAGATGCTGCAGAGCCGGTTCCAACTAACATGCTGCCTCTTCTGGACATACAGTGTGCTTGGTGCAGGAGTGCACTGAGTTTAAAGTAAAGCACCACTTTTTTTTTTAAATGTCTGCAAACGGCCTACTACATGCCTAGACTGTCTATCCAGAGATAGGGTCCATTCAAAGCATTATTCAAGAAAGCCAAGAGGTATCTACAGGTAGCTAACAGAAATACTAAGTACAGAGCTATGTCTCAATTCCTACCCATCATCAGTGCTTTCATGTTTGACTCATACTATACATTTAGGCTCCCTGTACATTTGGAATTCAGAAGGCCTCGTCCTCCTTCAGTGATGGTGTTGTTGTCATGGACCTTTAGCCCAAACTGCCTAGTGCTTGGAACACTTGTCCACGAAGCTGTCTGTGCTTCTACAGTTGCTTTCTTTTTTTTAACTAGTGGCTGTGTAACTGGTTCAGAGAGGCATAAATTTTCACGGGCAACAGCCTACTTTGTTGGTTGCTGTGAATGAAGTAAACTGTTTCCTATGAAAGCTTATGCCTCTCTGAACCACTTATTTTCTAAGGTGCCACCATGCCCTGCTTTGTGCTTAACTTCAAACTAACATGGTTTATACCTCTCAGTGACTGACAGGGGCTAGACCCCAGATTTCTCCCTACCCATGGGAGTGCCATATTCACTAAGCTCCCTCTTGTTCTCCTGACCCCATGGTTCTTGTAATCTCAGCTGCCCAGGAGCCCAGTGTTAACTAGCAGTGTTGAGGATGCCCCCATCTGGGCTGTTGTATAGCAGGGTGATTAGGGCACTTCCCTGGGAAACGGGAGATATAGGTTTATACCTCCTCAGGGTGAGAGAGCTTAGATTTCAGGTGAAGATATCACAAAGCTAGCTTATTTATCTCGCCCTTCTTGGGGCTTGGGTTTCACCTCAGCATCAGACTGGATTCCAGTAGGGTTAGGCAAAAGTTAGGAGTCTGCCTGATCAAACGATATTGTTTTTATTCATACCCAGAAGCTCAATTAAAGAGGCTTAGGGAATTTTGCAATCTGAACTGGAGGCATTGCTTGGATCTAAGCTTATCTCCTAATGAATTTTGTGCCATATGGACTACGGCCAAAGTGGATTACTCTTTCAGTTCACATATATTTAACCTAAATCCCTTTTAGGTACCTTTAAGACAAAACTGGATCAGGCCCTAAGCTACTACAGTCACTTGTATAGGATTTTAGTTTTATATGGAGGAGGCACTTTACTTTTTGACATTAAATATGCATGCTTTATACAGCTATTTGAGAGTCTAGCTGTTTTCATAGCAATAATATAAACATAATTCATGGATTCATAGACATTAGGGCTGGAAGGGACCTCAGAAGATCATCGAGTCCAGCCCCCTGCCCAAAGGCAGGAAGTCAGCTGGGGTCATAGGATCCCAGCAAGATAAGCATCCAATTTACTCTTGAAGGTGTTCA